TGATAAGCTGTGAAGAAATGCATTTTTTCCTGGGAGGTTTGCAATGAGCAAAACTCCCACTGTGCACTTTAAAAGGTTTTTTCCCCTCTGGGCAGAGAACAGGCAGGAGGAAGATAAAGTCAGTGGAGTTGTTTTCCAGACGCACCTCAGCCCACCTTCATACAATTGCTAAATAGATCTAGCAGGAGAGATAATGGGTGGGTCAAGCTCTCCTCCTTCCCCGAGCAGGGAACAGAAATTTGGAGGTGTGAAATGCTAGAGAGTCTTCAGGAAGGAAAACTCTGGAAACATCAGGAAAAGTTTCTTTGATCTGGCCTGAATGGGTCAGTGGTGGAGAAAGAGAAATGACAAAAACTCCTTGCGGCAGAAAGGAGCTCTTTTTTCCTGGAGCATGGAGTCCATGAGAGCACACAGAGCTCTCCTCTGGGAAGGCAGACATTGACCATGTGTTTGACTCAAGAGCTGGAGCAAGCTTCGAGGTAATGGTAACTCAGTAGAGATCTAGAACTCCCAAGCTAAACAGCCTGTCCTATATTTTAACATCTGACAGGGCACGTATAGAGAGAGGGACAGAGGATTTGTGTTTTACCTATTTCTTTTGGGACCCCTTGTTCAATTTGGTGCTGTGCTAAAAGTATGCTTGTAAACATTTTCTTTTATTATTTATTTATTTTAAATAAATATTTTATAACTTAAGATGCTAGCAGTGGTTCTCTGTATCATATAGACCTCCACTGTCTCAGACACGCTATTTAAAAGGAGCACTAAGGGGAAGGCAGGCAGTTGGCAAGTGGCTATTCTTCCAATAGTTCATAAGGCAGTAAACTGTCCCTGTGGTGACCAGGTGCTGGGCAGTGGGAGACACAGAGGCAAGGCCTCAGAACTTGGAAGGGAATCTGGAAGCCCTGGCTCTCCCAGTGGGTAATTCTTGGAAAGGTCAGGTGGTGGTGGCAGGCTACACGAGAGTGGAAGAAAAGCCTCTCCAGGTGTTGAGAAAAACCTAGGATTCCAGGTCAGAATAGGGCCTGCAGGCCTAAGCAGGCACATTCCGCCACGTAAGCTATGACTGCTGTCTGGCCAGAGACTACAAATGACCATCTGAAACCACACAGTTACAGCGACTAAAGCAGTTAAGCAGCCATCATCTGATTTACAGACATCTCTTTTCATACCTCAATGAGCCCATGCAAATGGCTAAATGACCTGGGATGAGCTCTTGCACCCTGCATTAGCTTAGTCAACTGTATTACCTACTAAGCAGTAAGGAAGATTTGATCATGTCAGGTGTAGATGTGTGATAAAAATATGTGGTAAAATGGTCATCTGTAACACACCAAGGTACGGAAGAGGATGATGAGTATCTCTTCTGTGCTTCCAGGCTAAGGCATTTTGGAATAAATCAATTCTTCAAATAAAGGATGGCTCCTGACCCTTCAAATAATAGATATCTGTTAGATACAAACAAAGAGAAATTAAACTATCTTCATCTTTCATCTCCCATCCCTGACTTCACACCCTTACAAGTACAAATTTACTTGGTGTGGTGACCAATCCAGAGTCAGATCAAGGTTGACACCCAAAGCAAACTATGACCTTGCCATCCAGTACTGCATTTTCTACAGTGGCCAACTCGATGTTGCTGAGAAACCCACAAACATCACACAAAGGGTGCAGCTGTTCCCAAGCAAGGGGCTTTCCATTTTCCGCTCCTTTTAGGTACTACCATAAAGTTACTAGTTGCTAGACAGATTTCCCTCCCTCACTGTCACAAAGGGAGGTGGAAGGCGAGAATGTGAAATATTGACAAGGAGGAGGAGGAGAGAAAGAATGATGCAAAATACAGGAGCAGCCATTAGGGAGGGCTGGCCCACGACCCACTTTCAGAGGCTTCGTGTCCCCCTTCTGGGAAGCACTGCTTTAATGAACCAACACCCCATCCTATACTCACTGCAGAACAAACATGCTGTTGGACTGTGTTCTTAAAGTGATTCTAAGAGTTCTGGTCCCCAGAAGGAAGAAGATGGTACGTTAAACCATGTAATTATTTTCTGAACACAAGACAAGGGATCAGATTCAGCTACGTGTACAAACATGTATCTATTGATGGACTGATCTCTGCCTTGCGGCCACTTTGGAATGGGGCCATTTAAACCAAATTATTTTGTAAATTAATTCAATTAAAAACCTGTCCCATTCTAAATCTGCCCTTTCACACTCCTGACAGTGTTATTAGGAATGTAATGCTGAGGGTGTTAATAGGGTCTAGTAACTACCCACTCACTTACCAGCTAAGAGTCATTCCCAAAGATGCCTTCACATCCCCAAACCTACTGAAAGCTAGAAGCAATGGTATTGAGAGTTCCAGGCATCATTAATAAGCGGCATGCCTCAAGATTTAAGTCCTGGGCACTGCAGCAAACATCCACAGCTGCTGGGATACAGCGGGATTATACTGCACATGGTTCCCAGTCATCACAGATGATGACTGCCTCAATTTCAAGGGCCTAAATCTTCACTACTGCTAACAACTCCTGGAGTCCCTCTACTGCCACAAAGATGAGGAGAGGAAACAGATTTATTTGCAATCTACTTAAACACCTGTGAAGTCTGGGTTCAGTTTTAAACGGATCTATGGAAAGAGAACCATGAAAATCAGTGGCCATTTTGTACTCTGCCACCATCACATTACAAATCCCACTGAATTTCAGGGATGGCTCATCCACTAAGCACACCTACACTCGGGGGGGGAGTAGTAGTAGTAGTAGTAGTAGTAGTAGTAGTAGTAGTAGTAGTAGTAGTAGTAGTGGTGGTGGTGGTGGTGGTGGTAGTGGTGGTGGTAGTGGTAGTGCTGGAACTCTCAAGAGGGAAATGAACATTTTAAAAAGAATTTTGTCAGAGTCCATTCCAGTGTGTTCCCCCCAGGAAAAAAGCCCTGCCTATACTATCAAGTAGGGCACCAGAGGTGGAAGGGCAGCAACCAGCCCTGTTGCCCCCATCTGCTGGCCTAGCCATAGCATCCGAGTCCGCCATAGCAAATGACAACCGCAGGAGGCACCAGTGGGTGGCCAGTGGTGAACTTGCTCCTCCCTCCCTCCCTCCCTCCGTGGGAGGCCCAGAACCACCCTCTTTCTCCAGCTCTCTTTCTCCATCCCTTGCCATTTCACCTCACTGTAGTTGGGGGCAGGAGGCAGTGGGGGACGAGGAGGGCATGGTGGCAGAGAGTGAGGAGTGGCAGCTTGGGCACCCTAGCCTAGAACATCCAAAAGTCTTATGGCAGCACTGTTGAATTTAGTTATGAATTGGAACAACCACTTGTCAGTTTTCTGCAACTCAGGATAGTTCCCAGAAATATTCACCTTTGTCCTATGACACTGGCCAGTGCACCACAGTTTTAAAAGGTCTTTTATAGATCATGCTCATCACAAGTAGCTGGAATTGCCTCACTGTGACCATTTATATTTTATATTATCTGAAAAGGAACCCAGATATAGTTCTTAAAACAAAACAGGCTCCATTCCCTGCCTTGCCACAGACTAAACACAATGGAATAGGGCAATAAAGCTCCAGTGTTTGTCTTAGCAACAGCCGATCGGAAATGCTTCCCTCAGGATAGGCAGGTAACTTATTTCTTGGTTGAGAAAGAGCATCGGCAGAGGTTGGCTCACTCCCATTTCCCCTGGGGCAATGGGTTCACTGCAAATTGCCCACAAAACCTGACACTCCAGTTGTGCTTGATACACACCTACGAATTGGGAAGTGCCTATGAACGGGAGGATAAGACTGCTGTTCATGCAATTCCCTTGCATTCTCTTTAATGGGCCCTGACTGGGCAGCTTTTTTATTTTGATTTGGGATTGGATGGAAGATTCTAGCAAAAAACAGCGATCCAGGTCTATTTAGAACTTCATGACTAGCTAATATTCCTTCCTTGGCATATCTTGTTGTAGAGATGAAAGGGCACCATAAAGTAACTTGGACAGCACTTCATATTTTCTGTCATTTGGTCACCTGCATGCTTCTCTCCAGGTGCTACAGAGGCGCTCCTCGGCTGCAGGGCACACTGCTCCCACGCTAGGCACTCTGAGGCATGGGGTGTAGACACTGGTCTAGTGCAAGTACCTAGCAAAAGAGAAAGTGAGCTCTGCAGTGGAGGACTGTCTCCGCAGCACCTGGAGGGAAGCACGCATGGATCCAAGCCACGGATCCAAACCACTGGGAGCCAGAGTGGTGTAGCAGGTAAGAGCAGCAGACTAATCGGGAAAACTGGGTTTGAGTCCCCACTCCTCCTCCACATGAAGCCTGGAGTGACCTTGGGCCAATCCCACCTACCTCACAAGGTGCCTATTGTAGGGACAGGAAGGGAAGGAGACTGTAAGCCGTTCTTCCTTAGGGTCAAGAAAAGCAGGATATAAAAACCAACCCCTCTTCTTCTTTGTAGTAACCCATACAGCTGTTCAGTTCTGTATTGACAGCAATACTTATCTCCTGATCAAGGGATACAAACTCCTACTGATTGCCACAACTTATCAAGGTGACAACGGTGAAAACCAAAGTGAGAGGTGGCAGGGAGTAGTGGAGAGAGCGTCAGACGTAAGATCCTGCAGGATCCAGGCTGGGATCCTCACCAGGTGGCTTTGGACCAGTCACATTCTCTCAGCCTAACCTATCTCACAGGAGGAGAAAAGGAGGAGGGCAGAAAGACGTTCTAAGTCACTTTGGGTCCCTATTGGAAAGAAAAATGGGATATCAATAAATAAATGAAAGAACAAGTTTGCAACACTAATGGGAAGCCCAAACACACAGATCCTGGTTACCTATTTGCATCAACATTGCTGAACCTAGAATTATCCAAGATGTAAAAGAAAAGGTTCCCATGCTCCCAAACAGGGGCCCTAACTCACAGATGTTGTGCACTAGGAATACAAACAATAGCATCTCAGTGGAAGCCTTGGACTCATCAGAATCGAGGGGCAAGGTATGGGGGGTATGAAATTACTGACTGAGTTTATGCAGCCCAATTCCTTGTTCAAAAGCCAGGGCAAAGAGAGCTTCCCTTCCCCACGGTAGCAAGACTGGATGCGCTCCTTGATTTTGTCTTTGATTTTCTTCAGTGTGAAGAGGCAAAGGACAGATTCCTTTGGTGGCTTGACCCTGTTCTTCTGGCCCTGAGAGAAGACTGTGAAGAGGATATCCTCATGTTCTGAGATGCCCAGCTGTTTGGCCAGCGCCTTCCCAGGCTTGCTGAGATAAGCGTCTTGAATCAGGCGGTATTCAATGCCATCACGAACACAACCAATGGGGAATTCCACATACGAGTAGAATTTGGGATCACCCACACATAGCCGGACAACCTTAGAGGTGAAGAACTGCTCTCCAGTCGAGTCAGGTGAGGTAAGTTGGGTGTCCAACTGCAAGGTCAGGTAGTAGACAAACTGCTCACTGCTGAAGCTGTAGATGTAGTAGATATCAAATGTGGGGAACTTGGAGAGTGTGTCGGATGGGATCTTGAGCTGGGAAGAGACAAATTCATCCTGATAAACAAAGCCAAACATTTCTGCATTCTCTTCGCTGTCCATCAGCTTGCGGCTGGACAGGGTAGGGAAATACTCCGACTTGCCGTCAATGGGTGTACCAATGAAGAGTTTGTTCTGCCCATTTTGCACTTCAATGATGACACCTGACATGGTGCCTGACTCATTCACACTGGAGAGGTAGTGCTCCTTGCGGTGGTGAGGCTCACCCAACTTGAAAAGGTCATCTAAGCGCAGGAACTGGCAGATGCCCTGAGAAGCGCTGCCACAGGCTATCAGCCGGTTCCCAGAATAATCCACCAGTAGCAACTTGTTGACGTTGTTGGTGCTGACTAGCCCATGTGGGCATGACTGCACACTGGGTGGTGGGTAGCACTTCTCATTGTCGTCCACTGGCCCTGTCACATGAGTGCGCAGTAGCGTGAGGTTGTTTGCAAGCTTATAGATCCGGTTGACAGCACCTACGTACACCTCCCCGGTTTTATTGTGGACTACCAAGTGTGTCAAACTCCAGTCTGTGACCTGGAAAGTCCTAAAAGGAGAGGAGGACTTGGGGGTGCCTTCTGATAAGGGCAGCCAGGCACTCCCCAGAAGCAGCAGAGTCCAGATGTTGACTGACAAGTGGTACTTTAGCCTTAGGAGCCACATGGTGGAAGCGTCACATCCAGCAATGGCTGTGCATTGACCTACCCACAAAATAAACAGAAGCAAACCAAAGGCAGCAGAGAAAAAGTGATCTGTGGAAAAAGTGATCTCCTCTTCTTCCACCACTCTCCACATTCAGGACATTGTGGGGACTGACATCCTACTCAGCCCTAAAAGGAAATACAAACCAAACAGGGTTAGATAAGCAACTGCATCACTCAGAATGGAACAACACAATAAAGCCTCACAGCTACAAACATCTCAAGAATGGAGGTGGCTCATATCTCTGAAATGTTCAGCTGTCCGGGGAGAAGAGCTGCCCAGAATTGTTGTTAATCATTTACATTCCTCCCATTAAAGCTCCCATGACCATTCTGTGAGTTCACTATGGAAAACAATTGCCAAATTGGTCAGAGAAACAGGAAGGATACAAAGGGTACTTTAGTATTATTATCACATGACAATACTCAGCTTTCCAAGTGTTCTATATTTTTACTAGGGCATGAGACTTGAAAAGATTAAGTTTGAACTCACGGCAGAAAAAACTGCTTTTGAGCAAAAACTTCCCCCCAAAACTGAGGAAAGCACTGAAGATCTGGAATTGGCTTAAAATAACTTAAATGACAGGGATTGTCTCTTTCATACCCCCTACTTTAGCACTTTCCAACCTTGGTTTCTCCTCCTAGGTTTCTCTTCCTAAATGTATGTGCCATCTAAAACTAGCAGTGTGTATTACAGTGTTTTCTTGAAGTCAGGTCTTTCATTGCACCGATTGATATCTGGCAAAAAGATTGTCTCGGATATCCCTCTTTATTTGTTATCCCAACTTCCTAGTTTTGTAATGGAGAAAGACAACATAAATGTATTTCTTTATGAAAAAAATATTGGAATGCTTCTAAATACATTGGTGAAAGAAAGAATGACTGGTGGTGGGGGGAATCCACTAAGTCATCTTCTCTTAACAAAAAGCCCAATTGTGTTTTAAGCACGCACACACACACAATGTTCATTTACATAAGGATGGAGGACTTTGGAGGCATATGGAGTTTACACATGGAAGACCATTCCCAGTTTTTAAAATATATCCGAGTGTCAACTTGCACACTTCCTAGTCAATGCAATATGAACAAATGTGTCTGCAATGACTTTGCTCCTTTCCTTAGGCCCCCAGCCCTCCAGAATGAGCAACCGTTGCTATATTTCCAAAGGTAATTTGCTTCCCTGGAATCCCTTCCTCAAAGGTCTTAAATTCTGCATGGCCTTTTCTAGTCTCTACCAGATGACCTGAAGCTTTCAACAGGAACAACCTAACTTATAAATTCCAATACAGATAAAGGTCCTGACTCCTCCTCACTCACAGCACAAAGACTCCCACACTTCCATGTTTTCTCTTCAGCTTGAATAGAACTCAGGGGAGTAGATGGGATCTTTGTGCAGGGGCACCTAGGACAGGGGCAGATGTCAGAGGGAGAGTCAGTATTGGGAAATTGATGGTCAGATATGTGGACTCCTGTCTCTGCATATATATTTTTTTATCAAACCCTCATTATTTGCCTGACTTTTGTGTTTTCTGGTTAACAGTCAAACTAGACAAGATGCTGGAAGGCCCTTGAATGGATATGAACTGGGGCTGTGAAATGGGAGATGGGAGGTTAATTCTTTCTCCCTACACTGACCTGGGTAACACAGAGTAGCCCGATCTCATCAGATCTTGGAAGTTAAGTAGGGTTGGCCCTGGCTATTAATTGGATGGTAGACCACCAAGGAATACCAGGGTCTTGATGTGGAGGAAGGCAATGGCAAACCACCTCTGAACGTCTCTTGCCTTGAAAACCTCACGGGGCCACTGTAAGTCAACTGTAACTTGATGGGGGGGACACTGTTTCTGGAATCCTTATTTGCCCCATCCATGCCTCTGCCGTCTAGACCAGCTGTTCAAAATCTAGATTGTGTCAAGTTAGTAAAATGTGAGCTGTGAATGCATAACGTTGAGAATCTGTGACAGTCCCAGTAACACCATTATGCAAACAGCAGCCTTTCAACTGGTATTAAGCCACCTTCTTTCTTGGAATTATAAATGGGGAGAAGGTTAGCCAAAATACTGAATGGGCCACGGAAAATGAATGACCTGCCATTCATATAATAAAGTACATCACATTTCAGGTAAGCGGCCTGGGTTCATCATGCTTTGTTGTGGCAATAGAGGACTGAGCTAGTCAAAACTGCCAATCCAACCCCTTCCACAAGCGGAATTTCCTCCCAAATGGAGGAAAACCACTTTAAACCCATTTCCATTGCAGAAGTGGGGTACATTTCACCCCAAGTTCCCTGGGGGGGGAAGCCCAAGAGCTCTGCTCCTCCTATAAGGCGGTTGTGGGGAAAACAAAATGAAACAACAACAAACCATTCATTCTTTAGGGTCTTTTTTCCCTTTTGCCTGAAGGCTCACATTGAGTAGTGAAAGACTTCATTGCATTTCACCATTTACCTAAGTGGACTTTAATGTGCTGAATGGTTGGTCATTAAGGAGATTTTACTTTTTATAAAGACAGGGAGTGAAAACACAGAGAGAGAACATCACAGATGAAGAAGGAAATAAATTGTGACAATTTGTGAAGAAGGAAGATGGCTGTTTAAGGAGAGCAATTTAGAATTATGGGATTGTACTTCCAGCTCAGACACTGATTTACTACCTGAACCCAAATGGTTCACTTCCCACCCGTGTTCCCCTCCCTCTTCTCTATAGATCAACCCTGTGGGTTTGGCACCCAGATAGATCTTGTAAAGGGAAAGGGGGACTTTTTTGTCACCAAGAGGGAGCTTCAGGAGGCATCTGAGGAAAGAAAAAGAGAGATTTCTGAGGAAAAGGGGAGAAGAAAGTAATCTGAAGAGAAAGAGTGCTCTGCACAGAGAACAGCATATCCTTGATGAGCAGCTACAGCCTCTGGGGCTCCAAAGAAGAACCAAGAGTCCGAACAATGACACAGAATGTCAGTGTACCTGCAAGAAAGACAGAGGAGACAAACTACATGTGATGTTTGCCACGTGATCACCACGGGGGCTCACAGCCAAATGACAGCTGCAATTTCCCCATGGAAATACAGTTGAGAAGCATCACAGAGGCCCAATTCAGTCAAGACCGCACCACAAGGCAGGAGGGGAGGAGGGGGTGCCTGTCTCCCCCACCAATATAGTTTTCCCAACCCAAACCAGCCCTAGAAAACTCATTTTTCCCCCAGGGAGGCTGTGTGTCCTATTCTGGTTTCTCATCCCTCTTTCTTGAATAAACCCTACTTGTGTTTCAAGCTCTACTTCTGAAAGGTAAATGGTGATTAGAGGGTCTGGGGAGATGTTCTGAAATTGTATTTGCCTTTGTTTTGACTCCTAGTAATTCCCCCTTTGTGAGGAGCAGTGAAAACCAGCGGGCTGGAGGCAATATTACTTTCTTTGGTCCACATACCCCCTTCCATTAACCAACCCCAGGTCCCATAATTGCTTCCCGCGACTGGAGCAGGTGGGAGAAACTGAAGTTACACACAGAAATCCTGGGGTATCCATCACCTAGGGTCCCAATCATACAGAATCATACAGGTGTGTGTGTCATGTGTTAAATTATGGAAAATACCTAGCATCTCTGATTTTTATTGAGAGTTTTATTATTTTGTTGATGTTTTACATGCATTATGAGTTGCCTTGAGCAAATAAGATCAAGCAAATAAAATGTAAATGATCCCTTTCCTTACCCCACCCACAAAAATATATAAAGGATTACGGGAACAGTGTTCTCCCCACTGTCATTATAAACTGGGTTATAAAATCAGTTCAGGAGATCCTTCCTGAAGCATCACACTTAACAGTGTTGCTCTTGTTCCGCCCCTTACTCTAGCCAACCCATTCAAACCTAGTTGCCCAAGAGAAAGCATGCTGACTGCTGAGAGAACCAGGTACGCATCTCACAAACAGCAGCTTCCCCACCCACCTATTCCCCCCAAAAGGTAATCTTCCTGCTACAAGAACAACAGAAAAACAAGCAAGGGGGAGGAGAGTCCTTCCAGATACAAAACTTCCAGGCAAACAGTTAGTTTGATAAAACTACAGGCCAAGCCCTAACCTGGATAGCCCAGGCAAGCCAAATCTCATCAGATCTCAGAAGTTAAGCAGGGCCGACCCTGGCAAGTATTTGGATTGGAGACCTCCAGAGAACACCAGGGCCGGGAGGCCAGAGGCAGGCTATCAAGCCACTTCTCTGAATGCCCTCTGTGCCCCAGTAGGAGTCACCAGAGGTTGCCATGACTTCCAGGCATGGATACACAGACACACACATACAAAAGCAAAAATACAAAAAAACAACTGTGGACCAAGAACTCCATAGCAAAGGTACACTTCAGAAGCTACAGTCTTTCAGCCTCAACCGTGCAAACCAGTGTGCCCCCTGCCAGAATATGTTTGCCACTCTCCACATTATTCCTGCTCTTTCATTAACCAAAAATGCTATGGGGAAGGACTGGCTCTACAAGAGCTAGTTAAAGATTTATAGTAGTCAAAGATTTATGGGCATCCATCACAGGGATGATCAGAATTGCCTGTCACCCTGAAACAGTCAGTAGTGAGCCGTATCCTTCTCCTGCCTGCATTGGCAGATACAAGTTGCAAGAATGCCAATAACAAAGCTCCTTCCTTCTTTATGCCTTTACAGTGCACTACCAAACTCCACTCTGAAGCATATTACGTCAAAACTCCCAACAGTTACAGACAGGAGAGGAGATGCCTCACATCCAGAGCACACCATTACAACATTCTTAAGTTTTATTTTTGCACTGTAGCCCACTCTTCCTCTCAGGAACCCAGAAGTAGCTTTAGCCTCTCAACCACTCTGTAAGGTTTTTTGTTGTTGTTCAGTCGCACAGTCGAGTCCGACTCTTTGCGACCCCATGGGCCGGATCACGCCAGGCCTTCCGGTCTTCCGCCGTCCTCTGAAGTTTGCTCAACTTCATGTTCAGTGCATCT